CTTCTATAAGGATAAAAAATCGCGAGATTAATATAATTATAGAGAGCTATAAAATAAATATATTAAAGCTATATTATATATTATTAGGGGTAATACTAAGGATAATAAGAAAAAAGACTATAAGATAATTATATTTAGTATCTTTAATATATTAATAAAATAGAGATATAAAGAACCTAAGAGTTATTTCCTTAAGCTAATTAAATATCTTAATAACTTATTAATTAGATAGATCCCCTTAGGATTACTTCTAATAGTCTTCTATATTATTGGAAATCTCTATTAAGCTATTATATACCTTCTTTTACTTATTATTAACCTTAAATAATAATTATTTAATAAGGTTATTAAGCTTAAGGCAGCGTAGAGTATAGAGCATAAATTACTTAATTACCTAAGTATATCTCTATTTAGTCTCTTATTTATAGTTATAGCTAAAAGGCTTTTAATTAGCTATATTAGTATTAAATTAATTAACTTTAAACTAGGCTATATATAGAATCTCTTATTAATAAAATAGGCCCTATGCCTCTTAGATTAATTAGTTAAGTACCTATAATATAAAGATAAAGCTAAGGTTATTAATATTATCTAATATAATAGAGCTTAGATTAATAATAAGGGAAATTAATCCTTATAGAAAGACCTTTTAATTAATAAAATTATAGAGGTAATTAATTAAGTTAAGCTAATCTAGCTATAACTATAGCTATATAAATTAGTCTAACTACTCTATAAGGCTAACTTCTTTCTAATAAATAGAGAGGGCCTAGGCCTAGAATACTATAAAGAGATCTATCTAATTAGATAGCTTTATAATAAATTACTATATATCGACCTTAAAATATTTATTATAGTAACTTTTCTAGAAGAGCCGCTAATAAAATACTCTAGAATATTATAGCTAAGAAGAAAATAGCGATATAATAATTTAAGCTATGGCCTTAAGTAGCCTTCCGGCCTAGCCCCTTTAATTAGACTATTAATATACTAAGCATAGATATTAGTAGAGTTCTATAAGGCTATAATAGACTTAATAATAGTTAGCGCTAAATATATACTTAAAGCTATTTTTTCTTAGTTCTCTAAGCTTAGGGATTAAAAGCCTAAGGGGAATAAAATAAGGCAATTAATTAAGGCCTTTAATATTTTAAATATAATTAAATAATTATACCTATTTTATTACTAACTTAACCTCTACTTATATAATATTATAAGGAAGATATTTTAGGTACTATTAGATCTAATCACTAAGAATAATAACTTAATATATTTTATAGGTAAGAAATAAGATAATTAAGATATAAATAAAATACTCTATTTTAGGGGAATAAAAAGAGGTCTTAGAAAAGATTAAGGGTTAGAGTAAGATAATAGCTCTTAAATACTAAGTAAATCTTAACCCTAAGTTAAATAACCCTTACCCTAAGTAGAATATAATTAATAATTAATCTAAATAGGCTAAGATAAAATAGGCATAGATTAAGTAAGGGTAAATTACTTTAAAATATCTTAAATCTTAGGGTTAAATTAATATCTTAATAATAAAATATCTTATTAATATTTTATTAGCTAGGATTAATTAATTATATAGTCTTTTATCTCCTTACTAAGTTTTAAGTTTATGCAATAATAGGAACCTTATTTTCTAGAAACCTAAGGTTAATAGTAAAAAAAACCTAGGCTTTATAGGTGAGGTAATAGCGCCGCGCTAAACGCCTATATAAAAAAACCTGGGGTTAGCTAACCCCTGATTATAATAGATGGTAGGGTCGTCGGCTATGACGATACGTACTCGGCGTCGCATAGGGAGCCTTCGGGGACACGAGCAGAGAGATCAATAGGTAACAAGGGAAGAGACACCAACTCAAACCCAGGTTCAGAACCAGATTCGGGGTCAAAAACCACTAGGCTATCGCGTATATCTAATACAGAAAACTCGATAATAGGCGGCGACTCTTAGAATCCTTTATCCTACTAGACAGTCAGTTACACCCTTACATCTTCCTCTAGCATCAACGGAGGTATTATCTCGGCAAGTCTAGGGCTTTAACGTCTCTACTATTCTATCGGCCGAGTCTATTCTATCGGCCGAATCGATAGTTCCGATGACGATAATAACGCTTCCATTCGCAGATCCATCTCGACAACCACTATATATGCCATAGCTATAAAGCCTATTCTATTTAGCGAGATTATTAGCGAAGTTAGCCGCTTAATAAGCCTTAGGCCCTATTAGGATAGCAGCAATAGTCTATCGGCCAGGTCTAAGGTAGTATCATCCTAGTTCGCAGTATCCGGCTAATCTAGGGTAATAGATCCAAGCATTAAATCGCCACTTCACAGAGAGAATATAGATAATAATTAGGAAAGGGGAAACTAGAAAGAGGTATAGCTTTAGCAGCCGAGTCTAAGTTAAGGATATACCTATAATAATAGCATACGAGCTAGGTATTAGCAATAAGGGGTTATTAACTAGATAAATATTTAGGTCATAAGAATATTCTTAAATATATTATACTTAGTTTTATTAAAGGTTTCAGAGGCAATATTATCTCACACGCTCGCGCATGCGATCTCTTCTCTCCTGAGCTAAGAGTGCACAGGGAGCCAAGCCATTATTTATAATATATAATAATACGAGAGGAATAAATTCCCTAGTCCATAGTATCCAAGACCTTATTACTACTACCGGTTCTTATTTCTTCCTTATTTTTTTATTTATTTATTTATTTATTTTAATATAAATAGTAATTACTTCCCGCTAGCCTTTCTACCTTATATTTTCTTTCTTTTTCTTATTCTCTAAGCCCCTATATTTTATAAGGGGGCATAGCTAGCTTATAAGGTAATTAGTACTAACTAGGGTTTATTTCCTCGGTAAGGGAAAGAATAAGCAATAGCGGTTATAGAATCCGAAATACAAATAGAGGTCAGGTTAGCTATTCTTACGGATTTTAGCATGATTCTCTTAGAACAGCTTTAGTCGGCGAAGGCCTAGAAGAACATAGGGTAATAAGGCAATATTATTATCTAAGATCAGCAAAAATATATAATAATAATATTATAACACTTTATAGATACGGCAAATTTAGTTATAAATATTATATATAATTTAGAGATAATATTCTTTATTATAACCTAGATATTAATAGATTAATCCATAGGCGAGATATTAAGATAGATATAGGGGTAATAAGTCGCTATATCTTTCTATTAGAGATCTAACCTAATAATATAATATCAGGGGATATAAGATATACCCTAATAGGGATATTATAACGCCTAAGGCTTTATTATATTAATCCGTAGAAACTAAGCAGGGATATTATAACGCCTAAGATATAATTCTATTAGGTAGTCTCTTCTTTAGGAACAAGGGTAACTATATATCATATATATATCATAGATACCATATATATATACCCTCTAGGACGCTTAGGCCAACCTGCTATTATTAACCCCAGATTTTACGCCTTTAATTAGCTATAAAATACATTCAAATAATAAAAGGATATAGATCTTAATTACACCTAATATAATACGATTATTACTATTTATTAATCTAAATTTTATTGCCTAAATTTATATAGTTAATTTATTGCGAATTTTTATCTTACTCTTTAGCTAACCTAAGAATTTTCACAAAGACTTAAACGACGGCCTTAACCCCAACCCTAGAGACCACACTGATATTGCCATATTATTCGCAACACTGGATGCAGATCAGCCTCCGACTGAATCACGGTGTTCCCACGAATACAAATCTTCTACACTCATGGGAACAGATAATGATCATTCTTGGCCTTAAGGGCTATGGCTACTGTTAACTATAATTGCTCGAGTGAGAGTCGGCGTCCGAGGAGCTGTCGTCTTGCGGCGACATGCCTAGCTCCCGCGGTTCGTCGTTTTCCGGCGGCAATTCCTGTCCTGTGAGGTCTCCCCGCACCGAAATCCGGCACAGACGTTGCTGCCTGAGGCCGCTTCCAAAGAATCTTCCACAGCTGCTTCACTAAGTTAAGTCGGGGGTTGCGAACCCCCCCTGCTTCGTGACCCCCCCTGGTCAATGGATTAATTCGGTTGGCAGTTAAACCTCGATATTTTGTCTCTCCGATCGAAGCCAATCGGTATACCTTACCTTGGCTCCAGAGACCGGGGGGGTCACGAAGCAGGGGGGGTTCGCAACCCCCTGACTTAACTTACCAACACTTCTGCAACGTCTCAGCCGGCATTTGAGCAAGCAACCTGATTAGCATCCCAGTCAACGCCGATGCGAGGGATGTAAGAACTACGCAGCTCCATCCAAAGACACGCATGTCGATCGCCATGGTATGGAGTGCAGACCCATCAGGGACTGACTGCGCCGCATGCCGACCGCGATCTCAGAGCCGGTGATGTGTTCGCATGACACGGTCCCCTTCATCATTCCACAAGAGGTAAGCACACACCTCCCATACTCCGACTCATCTAACGAATGCACAGATAGCTTTTGAACGTAGTACCCCGAATCTCTTCGCCTCTCGTTCGTCTTCCACCCGAGTTGCCCCTTAACCTCTTCTCCTACGTCACTAATCCCATTCGCTGCCTAGTAATAAGTTAACTAAATTCTATGAGCTAGGTAAATTTCCTAAGAATAGAACCTATAAGATAATAAAAAACTTTAGCGGTATTATTACGAGCCCCCTTAGCGGCGCGATATTTACGTGGACGATAGGTTTAATAGCGCACCCTATGAAGGCTATTATAGTAGCTGGCGTAGACATGATGGCAACTAGTGCGAATGCGATAGCAACGGGTGTAGGTGTGAAAGCAACGGAAAACTCAGGCGACACTATAGATATGGAAAATAGTGCATTGGTAGTGGCTCCTTGAGTTTGGTCTATTATCTCACTGGTTCTTGTTTTTATCACGTAGGAGGTATGGGGGTGTTTGGGCTTGACGACACGGCCCTGAGAAAGTCGAAGATGATTGACGGTTTCTCGACTACAAGACAACAGCATCTACTTTTTAAGTGCCTTGTCTTTGATCCATAAAGACGCCAAGAAGGCTGCTGCTAGGAATGCCGCCGTGGGCACAGTGGCACTCAGAGTTCCTATCCGATATAGTGACCGCACCAGATCTGCAATATCAGGTGGCAGCTCGTTGATATAGTTGAGGCTCTGCCGAACCTTCTTCTCTATCTCGCTGGCGCCGTCGTGATCGCCTCCGAGACTCGCCTCCAGAAGGGATCGGATGACCTGTTGTTGGACTGCAGATGTTACGCTTATCCCTATGCTCGACCCTAGAGAACGGAAAAGATAGGAGCAAGCAACTGCGACAGCCGTGTCCTCTGTAGCGGCATTGGAGAGAAGTCCCACTAGCGTCGTGGTGATGCCTGGGTGGCAATACAAGTTAGTATCCATGAGAGTGTGTCTAGATTATCTCCCTTACCGGATCCAATCCCAAAAGCCGCCATGACGAGGCCGACGACAATACCGACAGTTGATTTTTGCCAGACAGATAAGGCCAGAGGAATTATCGAAGAGAGCAGCAGCCCGAAGCTCAAGACGGTCGGCAAGTAGAATCTGCCATAGTGTCTGATCATCCACCCGCCAGCCACGGAGGAAACTATGACGGCCACAGTCGCCGGGGTCATCAGAGTGCCGCTCCGTGCAGCGCTGATTCTCTGGACAGCCTGGAAATACAGCGGGATATAGAGGAAGATGGCCATCTGACCAGCCATTCCGAAAAAGTTGGTTAGGTAGCAGAAGAAGAGGTTGGGGTCGAAAATGACATGTCCCGGAGCGAATGGGTGGCTGGCAATCCTGACCTCGACATAGATAAAAGCTGCGAAGAACACTGGCGTAAGAGACAGTGGGATAACCGATAAGAGGTTTGACCAGCCTAGGTTGGAACCTGCATCGAGTCCGGAAAGGAGAGACACCCCGGCGAGGGCCAGGGTGAGGGCGCCGAGGAAATCTATCTGTCGAACCTTTTGAAGCCAGTAGTGGCTTGACCTGCTGGGGACATGGAGAAAAAAGTAGACAAGAGCCCATGCTACAAGGCACATGGGAACTTGTACGAGAAAGGACCTGGAAAAGCCGGTTAGTTTATGACATCTGGTGAGAACTTGAACCTGTACCATCGCCATCCAATCGAGTCAGCAAGCAACCCGCCTAGCGGAGCACCCAGAGACGTGCCAATTCCCCAGATAACGTTGATGTATCCTTGATAGATACCGCGATCTCTCAGAGGGACCAGGTCGCTCAGCAGGATAGATACCACGGCATTGACTCCGCCACCACCGACGCCGGCGACAGCTCGTGCAATGCACAGCTGGGCCATGTCATGAGCCAGGCCGCATCCTAGACATCCAAGTCCAAAGACGCTGTAAGCGAACAAGAGGCATTCCTTGCGGCCGAAAATGTCGCTCAGCCTTCCGTATAGGGGCTGAAAGATGGTCAAGGCGAGAAAGTAGCTGTACCGGACATCAGCCTGAGAACATGGTCATTGGTCAGCCAAGCAAGCAAAGTGAGATTTACGCGGTAGCTATCCAGCTGGTGTTGTTCAACGCCTTGAGTTCACTGCCAATCTTTGTGTATGAGGTAATGACTAGCAGCTGGTCGAGAGCCACCATGAACATCTAGTTGTTGTTAGTCTCGAGACCAAATGCGGGCAGTGGCAGACCATACCCCGACACCCACAGCAGGAAGCAGGAGATGCATTCTTGCACCTCTGTCCGTCGGAGCAGCTTCATCGTTATTGGCCGTGTTGTTCTCGAGAAGTCGAGAGGTCTCGCTGGGTGGCCGCGAGGCCCGATGAGAACTGGTGTCTGGCATAGTTTGCTAAGACGAGGTACGAGAACGGAAAAGAGCAGGGGGACGGAGCCAAGGTGCTTTTACAACTGAAATTGAGAAGATCCTTCTTGAGCCGACCCGCTCTTGGCAAATGGCGACATCGCCTGAGAGGCTGCCATGGAGGAGTCGATACCACATCACGGCTCCACACTCGATTGCGTGATCCAGATGATAGATCCACCAGCGCTCTCATGTACATGCCCTGCTGCGGTTTGGCGGCTTTTCTATATTTTGCAAACGTGCTCCGGGGCAAGCCTTTCATCTCCAGTCAACAGTATCTCCTGGATTACAATGTCGCTTGTACGGAAACTCGTTCTCCTCGCCACCATTCTCGGAGCTTTCGGGCTCCCAACGAACCCCGACCAAAAGGGCCTTGGCTATGTGGGTGAGACCCCGGCTGGCCCTCCCACATGCCTTCTTCCTCCAGTCCTTGAGCCGCCCGATGATGGCCTGCCTTCAGGAGCCACCGTCTTCTCCGGGGCCGAAGCGTTGGAGACCCAAGTGCGACGCCATCAAGCCATTGTACGTGTGCCGACGGTGTGCTACGATGACCTCGGCGACTTTGACACGGACCCGCGCTGGAACCGCTTTCACCGTCTTCACGAGGTGCTCCAAGAGACGTATCCCGCCGTGTGAGTACATACAACTTCCTCATCCCTCTCCGGTCGACGACTAACACAGACGGCGCAGACATGGACGTGCCCGACTGGACAAGGTCAACACCTTCGGCCTAGTCTACACCATTCAAGGGTCCGACCCATCGCTCCAGCCCGCCCTATTGACGGCGCATCAAGACGTGGTCCCAGCCGGCGACCCATGCGCCTGGACTCACCCGCCCTTCAACGCCACGTTTGACGGCGAGTGGCTCTGGGGTCGCGGCTCCGCAGACGACAAGGCCTCTCTAACGGGGCTTCTATCCGCCGTCGAGGCTCTCGCTTCCATATCGGAGTGGACCCCGCGGAGATCCATCATCTTGGCGTTTGGCTTTGACGAAGAGTGCTCCGGGTACCGGGGGGCTGGGTCCATTGCCAAGTATCTCCTTAGTCAGTACGGCCACAATGGACTCGCCCTGATCCTCGATGAGGGCACCGGTGGGATCTCGCCATTTGAAGACGGCACCCGGTACGCACCTGTCGGCGTCTTGGAAAAGGGCCATGTCGATGTCACATTTGACCTCAGGGTTCGTGGCGGCCACAGTTCCACACCACTTCCACACAGCGGCATCGGCATCGTGGCCGAGATAGTCACTGCTCTTGAAGCACACGTCTATGAGCCTCGAGTCACCACCGAGAGCCCAGTGTACAGCCGCCTGGTCTGTCAGATGGAGTACTCGCCCGAGTCAGACCCTGAGCTATTCCGGCATGTGAGGAGCGGCGACTTGGGCAGGCTTGCGACGGAGCTGTCATTGAGAGATGCCTTCTCTCGCTACTCTGTCACGAGCTCAGTCGCCGTGACCACTATCCAGGGCGGCCTCAAGATCAATGCGTTGCCCGAGGCCGTCACGCTTGGGGCCAATTTCCGGGTGGCTCCTCACGACAGCATTGCCAAGATTCTTCAGGCCGTCCTCGAAGATATCAGCGGTGTGGTTCACAAATATGGGCTTACTGTCACCGCGTATGAGGATGACCAAGAGTATCAGGGGGCCCTGACTAACAGAGCGGAGCTCGAAGCGACGTTGTCCAGGGTCGGGTATAACGGAGCAGGCGATAACGGAACACTGACCTTGACAGCCTCAGAAAAGTTTCCCGTTACTCCACAGGCACCAACCCATGGTGCGGCTTGGGATGTACTAGCGGGAACAATCCGTCACTCCTTCGCCGCCGACGACGGGTTGGTCGTGCCCTTCGGCGATGTCATGATGGGGAATACAGATACACGACATTATCTCGGTGAGTATGCGAGCCTACACCGAGAGACTGGAATGCTAACTTTGGTCAAGATCTCTCTCCTAGTATATATCGCTGGCTGCCGCTGCTTCCAGGAGACATGGTCGATTACCATGCCGTCAATGAGCGCATCCGAATGGGAGCCAACCTGAAGATGGCGGAGTTCTACTATGATCTTATCCGCAACCTTGGGCACGTGGATCTCTAGTCTAGGTGGATCAATACGATACGCCCTTCCGATGGTCCAGAGATGTCATTCTTTGCTGCTGCCCCTGACACCCTGCCTCTACGGAATGACAAGCGCCCCCGTGACCAATGACGATGGTCTTGAGAGCATCCTGGCTCCAGGCGACTGATACGTGGGCACCCGGATGCCCAAACAGAATGGCGCACCCGGGTGCCCAAATTATGTCAGCGCCTATTAGTACATATTCCTTAACGCTATATATTGAATAGATTTTTATGGTTATGAGATTTTGATAAAATTAGAAGTTAAGATGACGCGGCTACAATAACGAAAGTAGTCTCTAACATATGAATTTGCCTTACTTCACCTTCTATATAACGTTCGCGCACATTGAAGTAAAGAGCAGCTCCCGCTTATAAGCGGATTCCTCATCGCAGCGCTATTCTCGATCACGTTGAGGATTTACAATATCTCGTTAATCTCTTGGCACAGAATTTTCTCTCATATCTTCGATGTCCACCGAAATGCTTAAGATAAATAGTAAACCCAGCTCGGGACAATAATAATTGGGATCCTGCAGTATCAGACGGTGCTATTAGTGCTATTATAGCAACTTCACCATTTATGAAGGCCAGGCGCAGAGTAATGGAGTGGGTAAAGTGGGTACTCAAGAACCAATATTATTGGGTACCCAGCCCGGGTGCCCAAGGCTATTTGGGCATCCGGGTGCCCATGTATCAGTCGCCCCTGTGGATCCTAGATTAACTACCAACACTACTTAGCCTGCTCGCTTCTTTCGTCTCGAAGCACGTCATTCTAGACGCGTATAACCCAGCCAGCAAGACACGCCTCTGGCATCCGAGCAAGCAAGCTATGCCACACTCGGTCCCTGGTCCGCGTGGGGATAGACAGTAGCGCCTAAGCTTTTACCGTAGAGTATCGACTCACCACATCCGGGAGGAACTGCTCCAGGCTCACTGGACTTGAAGACCCGGAACGGTCGGGAACTAACACCTCGGTAGCATCTGTAAGCCAACCGAAGGGCGAACATCAGGTCCTGGAAGACCCAGTGGATGTGCCAAGTCGATAGTCGGTCCATGTCCACAATGGCTCATCCTACTAAGAGCTCCGACCCCAGCAGCCAACGATGTCGCAATTCCAAGCAACATATGAGCAACAGCCTCGGTGTCAAGTTTATCGTCCGAGTGAACCCCTCTGAACTACGGTGCGGCTTCGACTTGGCGCTGACTCTGCAGGAACTACAAGTATCAAGGTAGCACACCCCAATCTGGACCAGTTCCCCATCAATGCAGGTATCGATCAGCAAAGGGACAATATGACAGTTGTTGAAACTATTGACGACGAAAAGTCCTCGGCCAATGGCGGCCAGGCGACGACTGGCACAAAGGAGGGTGCCAATGCCACAGTTGCGCGAGCTGACACGGCGGGCGTGCGCGATGATCCCGAGGCCAGGGCTGCCTTTCTAGCTTCGTTTACTGCCCAAGAGGAGAAGCAAATCATGAGAAAGGTCGACAAGCAGTTTCTATTGCTCATCGGGTTCATGTACATGATCAAGCAGGCAAGTCTCCCCGAGGAGTCGGCCTCAACCATGCTGACCACCACATTGTCCAGATCGACCAGACAAATGCGTCAAATGTCAGGGTTCTGCAGCTTGGAGAGCCACGAAACATCATGACTGAGCTCAAAATGACGTCTGATCAGTACAACTGGGTCGGATCCATCTACGGGGTATGTCAGCTGAACCGGACCAGGGGCCAAATGCTAACGACTAGACAGATCTCGTTTATCCTCTTTGAAGTGCCCAGCAACCTCCTTCTCAAGCGCTTCAGCCCTCACGTCTGGCAGTCCCGCATCTTCCTCATGTGGGGTTTCATCACGGCCTGCCAGGCGGCGGCGCAGAACCGGCACCAACTGTACGCCATGCGCTTCCTCCTCGGCATGTTCGAGGCGGGCATGTTCCCTGGGGTCATGGCGCAGCTCTCGAGCTGGTATCGCACCGACGAGATGGGCAAGCCCGTCACCTGGTTGTACTCGTTTGTCAACGCCTCTGGCATCATCGGCGCCCTGCTGTGCTACGGCATCAGCTACATGAACGGGCTCCAGGGCCTCAGCGCCTGGCGGTGGGTCTACCTCCTTGAGGGTATCGCGACCGTCCTGTTTTCTGCTATCGTCTTCTGGAGGTTGCCTGACTACCCCAAGTCTCCTCGCTCGGGGCGCTTCCTGTCGGAGCGAGAACAGGAGTTCGTTGAGGCCAGGCTCCCTGAGAACGCACCCGTCACCAGCGACCCGGTCTTCTCTGGCAAGGAGATTGTGGCTACCCTTCGCAGTCCTTTGATTTGGGCCTTTCTCGTCTCTCAGGCCAGCGTCAACATTGGATGCTACGCGCTCATGTGGTACCTGCCCACCATCATCACCAGCATGGGCTTCACCGGGCTCCCCGAGAACCAGCTGTTAAACATTCCCCCGTCTGCGGCTGCCATATTTTCTGTTCTTGTTGCGGCGTGGCTCATTGGGAGGGCTTACTTTGTCCGTCCGGCTGGTGCCATGTATGCCTCTCCTCTGCCCCCCTTTTCCCAGACTCTAGCAGCTGACATCAAGACTCAGAGTCCTCCTGGCCGGCATGGTCGCTTGCTTCATCGTCTTCTTTACCGTATCTGATCGCGTTGGCATATACATTGCCTGTATCCTTAGCAACGCCTTCTTTAACGGCTACTATCTCATCTTTTGGGCGTGGCGATCGGCGACCCTGTCCGGATCGACCGCGGCAGCCTTCACGCTGGCCTTCCAGTCTGGCATCGCCCAGGTCGGCGTCATCGTCGGACCTCAGTTGTTTCCTTCAAAGTGGGCCTACAACCGATACAAGAACAGCTTTGCCATTGCTGGCGCCTTCACCATTGTGGCCTTGTTTGGCAACCTCTGGACGTGGTGGCTGACCAGGAACACCGAGTACGATGTGATGAGGATTCGGCGTGAGATCCTCAAGGCCAGGGCTGAAGGAAAGGTTCTGGCTGGCGATGATATTCATGTCTTCAATGAGAGGCAGTTCTACAAGGGTGTCAGGCGTAACCAGGCCGAGCAGGAGGCAGGAAAGGCCTAAATGGAGATTTGCCGGGATGCAGTAGCGACATGTTTCTGGCACGTATCTCGTTGCTTGGTACCTTGGTAAACTAGATTTGGCATAGATATCAAAGTCCATCTTGTCCCGATGCTTATAGTACAACAACCGCACGAGAGGTGTACCGCCGATGGCGTTTGCCGTCGAGTCGAGAAGTTGAAGCATTCTTAATGCGAAACTGAACAAAGAGGAGATTGAACCTTGTCGTTGTTTGTAGGTGCAAAGGAACTAAGGGGAAACGTTGACAACAGCGGATGCTAAGAAATTTCTCGCTGGACAAGGGGGCACACATGGCAGAACCTGAGCGACCCTACGAGCTACTCTCATATTGGTAACTATTTAGGGAGTAAGCTCAACATCTGAACTCATTACGTACATATTCCTTGAATACTTCTGGGTAAAAAGGCAGAACTGGAGCGCACTCCCCACACCAAATCTCAGAAGGATAGTGACACCTGCGACCAAATAAGAACCACTTGAGAAATTCCCCTATTTACATATCCACAGTTTGACGCATATCAACTAAATAGTTAGACCTAGCAGCCATTTCTATACCCTTAGTGACTAGACAGTAAATATAAATAGCTATATCTGAATATTCCAGGATGCTTGCCGTCACTAATCCTAGGCTTTTGTTATCTTATCTTCCAACGTCTCCCCTCCCAAGAATCAGTATTAAATCTTTCGAGGAGGGTAAAGCTTTACATAATCAACACAGCAGCTTCTAAATATATCATAGTGAAGAGTGGTGATGATCCCGCTGGGTCGCTCTAGCTTCTGCCAGCCGTCGCAGCAAGCACGTTCCTTATTATCCACAAATGATCCCGTCCACGGCTTTGAAAACGGTAATGATACTGGGTTCTGAGCTTTCGAGACCGTCTGGCATTGTCGTTTTGCCAAGTAATGAGATACAGTCTCCAATCGCTTTGACACGATTGACTGTTTCGTTTTGGGATATAGCATTGCCGAGTCTTCTGTTTATCGTACACGTGATACCCTACAGGGTTGGTTCTTCTCTGAGCACAGCGAGTTCCCCCGTGCGAAGCGCCGTCAGAGCATGCGTCGAGCCAGTGCTTCTCTACGGCGCCGAGGCGTAGTACCCGGGCATAAGCCGGCCGCGGTGGAGCTAACTATCTAAAGATATACCATCGAGTAACTAATATCTTATCTAGAGAATAACTGAGGCTATAAATTAATCTATAAGAATTATCTTACCTATCTAGAAGATAATATCTATTACTGCCCTCTACTAGGAAAGCGGAATACTATTAGTCGCTTAGCTTCTTAAAGTATAATAGCTTTACTTCTCTATATAACTCAAATTACTCAATAAGGCTTACCCCCTAGCGAGCTAGATATACCTACCTTACTAACCTATTTATTATAACCTTATTAAATAAAAATACTAAGCACCGCTAGAGAGTAATTTTAGGATATAGCTTTAATATATTAATAAGCTCTTTATTATAAGATAATAGGCCTTAATAGCTAGATTAAAGTAAAACTATAGATAGAAGGTAGGTCTCTATTATATATAAGACTTTAACTTACCGAGCCTTTTATAATAGCTTAGCTATAGAGATTTTAAGAGCCTTTACTATATATAGTAATATATAATATTTAGCTAGGGTTTTCCTAATTAATCAGCAACTTTAATAGCCGCCTTATATCCTTATAATTACCTCCTCTCTAGAGATCTTAGTCCCTAAGATCTTTAAGTATATTAAAATAGCTTTAAAGAATTTTCTTAAAGCCTTTAAATTATAGATAAAGCTATAATAAAAGCCCTTTAATATATTACTTTTTATACTTAAATTATATTTCTTTTTCTTTTTATTATAATATAAAAAATTAAAAAAATATTTTATTAATTCTTTAATATTATTAAATATTGAAAAATAATTATTTTTATTTTAGCTTATTAATATATATTAAGATAAATTAAGTCTATTATTTATTATATTTTTATTTTAATTTCTCTTATTATAATAATATCTTATTTTCTCTTATAAGATTCTTTTTAGCTTTTATATCCCCTTAATAATATATTAGCTTTTACTTTATAATATTTACCCTTAATATTATTACTTAAATCCTTAAGACTTATTATACTTTTAATCTCGCTATTAGCTTTATTAAGTATTAGCTAAGTAATTACCTTTATTTTAGCTACCTCGCTAAGATCTATATAAATTATTACCTTATTTATATTACTAAGTCTAACCTAGCTATTTATATTTATTATAATTATTATACCTAATATTATAATATTATAAGTTCTCTAAGTTAATTTCTTAGCTTTATATCTCTAATTTATCGCTTAGATTCTTAAAAAGCTATTAGGCGCCGCTTAATAATATTAGAACTTTACTTATAATCTTATATTTTATTACTTAATTTATATTAACCTATTAATAAATATTTTCTTTAATTATATTAAGATTTAGCGCTATATTAAGGTATTTAATAAATATAATTTAATATAAAATAATATTAAAGATTAATATATTAATCTTATAAAATATATTAATAAAGATATTATAATTTCTTATTAGCTTATTAAGTTAATTATTATTTATAAATTAGCTTTTATTTATATTTTAATAATTATAAATTATTTTTCTTTTTAGCTTTTATTTTTTATTAATTTATTATTTAAGCTTAAATTTATATAGATATTACTTAAATCTAGGGTCTTATAGATATTACTTAACTTCCTTATACCTAAGATAATATTAAGCCTTATAACCTTTATTATATATTAATTTATTTTATCTCTATTAAGAGTATTATTTTTAAGGATAAAGGTATAAGCTATATATTCTACTAAGATTTTCCCTTAGCTTTAATTACTTATATAATTATTAATATTTTAGCTTTAATTCTTTTTATTATTTATATTATAGCTTATATTAATATTCTCTTTATGCCTTATAGTAATAAGTATTAAGCTAATAATAATAATATTACCCCTAGTAATATAGCGCTTATTTTATTTATTTATCTTACTAAGA